AGACAATTATAAAATTTCTTGGGAATACTTGGAAAAAGACCTCAAGAACTGACTGCCTCTCTTGTGCCGCCCTATGAACGCCTTGGTAAGTTAGATTAGTAGTCATAGTTTCACCTTTCAGATGATACACAAGGAGAGTAAGTTAGTGGTTAGGGGAGAGGAAGATCAACCACCTGCAGCCAGGAGAAAGCTCCCGTACACAAGGGCTCACTTGGGGGAACGGAAACCCTAGTGCTATCATGGGGTCAGCAAGCATAGGAGGAATCCTTGCTAACACCTTCTTCGACTCAGGGACTACCCACATTTTTGTAACGCCAAGTGTAGTACGCCGATAGGGATTTCGAGGAAGAGTCGGGGATAGGAGGTCCTCCAAACAGGAAGAACTTACATTAACGTCTCGGTCCAAACTCACGGTGTAGTAATGTCTAGGGAACTACTAGAAGTACAACTTAAGGGGTACAAAGTCATCCTTGGGATGGACTGGCTTACTCGATACCTCGCTCACCTTGATTGTAGGTGGGGTCAGGTGCGATTTAAAGCCGCAAAGCCCTGGGTAACCTTCCAAGGGTTCACCTCAGGAAGAGGGGCAGCGGTCATATCATTATTACGAGCTGAAAAGATGATGCGACAAGGATGCGTGGCGTTTCTAACAACAATATCCATTCCAGAGGTTGGCAAAGATACCGATGTAGAAGAGAGTACCCTGACATGTTCGTAAGCGGGTAGGAGTCAGAAGCAAGGAAGCCAAGGATGGGTCCACAAGAGGTAGGGGAGAGTTGTAACGCCCCAAATCCAGGAGTTTAGGGTTAAATTCTAACTTAGGAAAAATTTATGGAGTTTTAGTAATAAAGGAATAATATGTAGAGGAAATGTCATTTTATTACTTGGGGAATAGTAACCTAAGAAAGAGACCCGCAAGTGGTAAACGGGCCGCCTATAAATGGGAAAGGTTAGGTCGAGGTAAGGGGAAGGAAAACCCTAATCGCCGCCGTGCAAAAGGAGGAAATATAGGTGGGCTTGGCCCGTGTAGTGAGGAGGTGGAGAAAAATAAGGAAAGTGAATATTCATCAAGGGAATTTTCATGGGGTATAAATAAAGGGCTAGGGAGCTTATATTTTACACACCAAAATCGTTCTCTCCTTCCAGAACCAAAGAGAAACACTTAGGAAGAGATAACAAGGAGGAGCTCAAGAAGGAACTTGGAACCCCAGTCCCTAGAGGTTCACGGTTAAGGTAAGGCACGATTCGTACCTAACTTTCATTTCTAGTCTTTCCTATTATAGCTTTCATAGGGTTTAGTAGTAGTATGAGGTCAAAGGGTAGAGTAGGTCGAGGAATACTCTATCCGAATAGAGTTCCGGATGGAAGCCTCGGCAAAAGTAGAGTAAGTCGAGGAATACTCAATTCGGATAAGAGATTCGGAAAGAGAGCCTCGACAAGAGTGCTGGTAGCAGTCCACACGAGAGTATCTCGTGAACAGAGAGGAATTGCGGTACTGGCAAAGAGAGTTGCCGCATAATGTTAGGCCACCGGTCTGGGAGCGTAAATCCATCGTAAAGAGACGAGAGCATCAGCATGGCCTCGGGATACCTCGATAGCTTCTCGATCTAGACAATAGTGTTGCATCCTGTTGAATCATCAGCGTGGCCTCGGGGTGCCTCGATGAGCATGGATAGGCAAGTAGTGTCCTTACCGTAAAGTGTCTCGATAGGGCATCGATAAGAGATCGATAGCGCCTAGACAGAGCTGCGATAGGAAGTAGTACGATCATCAGTAGTGCCTAGCTTATGATCGACATTCATACTGATGGAGTCTGGATATGGGTAGGGAAGACGCATCGAGAAGGACTCGTACCGCGTCTCTAGAGAGATATAACGAGTAGAATCGCGGGCAAGACTCAATGCGGTAGAACTGTACCGTGAAGTATAGGACTTCAGTAAGAGACCGGGCAACCTTTATCCAAAAGAAGACAAGATTGGTAAAGCAAGCTAAGGCTTGGCCCACGGTGAAGTGATAGAGCATCGGGTTGGATTAGAGGCAATCCGGCTAAGGACTCGTAGGTGAAGGCATGCAAGGAGCTTGGCATGGTTGGGAACCTTGCCAGGAGCTAAGTGTATTCACGATGTGCTCGTGTTAGGCGTACCACACATGGGATTTGACCATAGTTTTGAGGAAACATGATTAGCCTCGGCAGGTCAAGAGTGACTGCTTGCTTGGTGAGTTGAAGGAAGGCTACGGCCTGTGGGTATGGTCGTAGTTGGAGAGCAACTTAGATTCATATTGTTAGGTTTGTTTAGGAATTGAGTCTTACATGGGCAAAGCTAAACCCTACCTAAAAGCTACCTTGGACCGTATGAGAAGTTATTCGAGGACGCTGAAGGGTAGAAAGACTAACCGATCATTAAACCATGGAAATAGAACTATGGTAGAGCTACCTCTTCATGGAAGTAATTCTATCCGATGGTTTTCTTGTTTGTAGGATTTGGCAGTCTACTAGAGATTGTTGTGAACTAGGCAGGAAGTCATTAGGATGACCCAATGGTTATACTAGTGCTACCTTAGCTAACCCGATGTATGGTTATAAGTAAGGTCTAGCAAGAGAAGAGTCAAAGAGGTTTGACGAACTCAAATTAGATGACTTATGGTCAAGGAGATAGATGAGTGACACGAGGGCTGGATTGTACACAATTTGGTATCGAGAGCTATCCACAATTAACGGATAAATCTTAGATGTGTATTTCTTCAGGACGGCTGCTGTATGGACATATATATGTCATGGGTAACGTTATGGGATAGCCATGCTTACTTGGGGTGACCATACGTGGCAAAGGTATTGACTGAAATGCTTCGGTTCGGCTATTGTTTGAGAACGT